TAGCCCAATAAAAATCCCATTCTAACTTATTGAAAGTAAGAATTAGTGTGAAAAAAATGTTTTACTAAATGTGACTATTGGTTGTACAACTTCAAATATAGTAAGGTTGGAGTATAAAAGAGCATTTAATAATATACATTTCAAGACAGAATATAGTGAAACTAAAAGCTTAAAAAAATAAGACAACCAATTTTCCTCTGAAACCAAAAGCACATCTTGTATAAAATATCAAATATAAACCATAGACCTTAGGCTCAATTGATCGAAGTAAGAAATTTTTGGCAAACACATACCTCTAACTCTTCCTGCAACTTGTTCCAGATAATGGATGGAATGTACACTTGATGGCCATCATCTTTTGGCACTTCCATAGTTATCAATTCAATATCCTGGAAAACAAGAGATAGTTTCAGTAAATATTAAAAACAAATAAAGAGGATACATATTGGTTTTGTTATTCAATTATTATTTCTCTTAGCCAGTCTTCTCCTCTTTTCAAAATAACTATTACAGTAGGTACAAAATGAAGACTAGAAATAATATTTGAACTGGATATCTGTTATATTAAAGAGCACTGTAAAGTTGAAAGTATGTTTTCTTGTCAAAGCCTGAACTAGAGAAAAAGAGACTGATACATAGAAATAAAGGAAAGCCTGAGAAAGGTTTGATAAAGATGAAAATAATACTTAAGAGGATATATGACAAGAATGATCTACATTTTCCAGGATTATCTGTAAATGTTGCTTGCAGTTTTTCCAACTTTTAGCCTTCTACGACTTCTACAGAGCTTGCTAAATTCCCCTCAAGGATTATTGAAGGGAAATTATCCCATCAAAATTACCCCACAGGAACCTTCAAATGTGGGTTACATTTTGAAAATGGTTATTTTGTGCATTTTGTATAGACATTGATTTTAAATGTTTTGTTCTTTTTTAGAATGTATCTACAGGTCAGGGATTAGTCTGAAGAAAAAAATGGGGGAGGGGGGGAGTATGAAAAAATAACCTAGAGCTTTTCCTAAGTGATAGATTTAGATGTTCTTGGTAGAATTCGCAATTTTCTTCACTCAGCAAGCTCCCCATAGGTTGCTCTGACTCAGAATTAGAGGAGTTATCCCAACAAAATTATGATTTTCTTATGCTAGAAAATGGTTTATTATATTGTATTATAATCAATGTACTGCAATACAGTGAGTGAATCCACTGACTTTATATATATTTGTATTTATCAGTACTTCTAGCAATAATGTGACAAAAAAATATATTCTTCAGCTTTACATGAAGTAAAATGTATTACAAATATCAAATCTGGGAATTAGTATTACTCAAATCAGAATTAAAGGAAACTGGACCCTTACCCCCTAACTTCCCAAAAATACTTCCAGATCTGAAACGAACTAAAAACGAAAATATAAATAAAATTACATGTATTTCAAGCCCTATATCTAATTGACACATCTAAACATCGCTATTACTACATTACTACAAAGAAATAAAAATACATATTTCACGCCATATATCTAATTGACACATCTAAACATCGCTATTACTACTATTATTACTACATAAATTAATGGTGACAGAATGCATATATTTACCATTCTTGCCAATTTCATGTATTTTTTTTTCTTCTCTTTATCGTCTCTGCTTCTTATCCTTTAAAGTTTTTCCTTCTTGGTGTTTACGTTGCGAAAAACTTTCTTTTAGGATATAAAATAAAATATAAATTAAAGTTTTAATGTGTGAAATCGGTGTCTCATGTTCTATTTCACACATAAGGTAATGTATCATTGTTTCTACTAAATAATGAAGGTTAAATATACACTATGGTATGTAAATTTTGTTAACTTTACCAGAGGATTTAAAAAACTAAAAGAAATATTTTTAGGGCGTTTATAGCACTAAATTTTTTTTGAATAATTTGAAAACATTATCTGCACTTATAATGAATATATTTTTTGTACATCAAGATTATTTTATGATGAGAAAGAAAGCAGTTACATTATGAATAGTTATCATTTAGTTATCATTTCACTATATGATTATAAATTATATATGCATATACATATTTGAAGGCGGTAATGTCATATAATTGAAACATTCTTGATATCACATATATCAGAATTTTATGTTTAATTTTAAAAAATCACACTAATCTACCATGACACCGTCATATGATCTTCCAAAGTAATTAAAGTCTCAAAGTTTTATTTTTCTTTGAGAAATATTAATATTTTTGGCCTTTCGTACACACCCTAAACAGACGGTTACCACTTAATCAAATTAATAAAACCTCCCTAAATACTGTACCAACGGATGTAACACTCGATTGAATAAATATCTAGTATTTGTAAAAATGCCCTGAATGACGAAGAAATAAAAGACTGGCTTTGTAAATCAACAATAAATAATAAGAAAGCGAGTGGGGAAGTTCCGCTAAATGTGTCGTCTGCTTGAGTTCATCCCGTAGTAACATTTTTCGCCATCTCTTCCACGCCTTTTGAAGCAGGTTATGACACTTAATTCCATATAATCGCTATTATAATTCGAAGTGAGGGTCTTTTGAGTTTTGCTAGTGTCCCGAAAATCTCGCTAAATGCTCCAATTCAGCGGATCTCGTTTGTATAAAGCAGGAATATCTTTGGCGAAGGTCAGTGTTAGTCTAGCCAGTGTGCAGGGTGGACGTGTCGCTTCGCTGCCGGTCTTTTTCACTCGTGCAACCTCGCTTCTCTGCAACATGAGCGAAACTAAGAAAATCTGCATCGTTGGCTCGGGAAACTGGTAAGTTATTGGGTTATATCTGCATTACTGAAATATTCGAATAGATTCAATGGTTTATTCCTGCTGTAGGAGGATTCAAATATTGTTGCATGGTTTGCAGATCTTGACTAATGTGTTTATGTATTTCAAGTAGAAGCTGGCCTAGCTGTGATTTAGTATAATCAGAATGGTCAAGTAGAATTTCATGTGATATCCTTTTGATCTCGTTGTTGCTAAGCAATTTCTTGTCAGCGGTCCATCAATACATATGACTCAGACTGCTATGGAGGGTCTTACTATTTGTATATATCATTTACACGTTATTCCTCTACAGTTAGAACCTTATTCTTACCTTGCAAATTGATATTATTTAAACCTTTGCATTTACATTAACGAACTGACACATGATCATAATCTGCCACGTCTCATGATAGGTTTATATCGTATTGCGATTTATCTTTCACACCTGCCAGGATTACACGTGGCCTATGGGGATATTAGGCCTAAAGTAATGGCACTTGCTGATTGTGCCACTAACTCGGTGGAATTAATTCTTAGGCCTAAGCGCAGTGCACAGTACAAACGAACGAGGCTTGGGTAACTAGTCGTAAATTAACAGTAATTCCCAAACAAGTTTGTATTAATTTTTGGGATATGTTGTAATGTGCACAAAGGAACTTCACCTCTGTACACTAGCTCCCTGGATTTTTTTAACAATAGTATGGAGAGCTATCACCGTTGCTGTTATGAAATTCTTAAAGGTGAGCGCCTCATTGAAAACTCATGGCCGGTCGTGACTTGTCTCTCGGGTCTATGTAAATGCATGTTCCTGTCGTGTATAAAACTGGCATTTGATAATTTGGTTAAGGGAGTCCACACACACTCCTGAACATGGCAGAGCATTTGTCTATAACTAACTTACGTGTACATAATGTTTAGTGTGCGTTTTCTTTTTCAGTTTATTTTTACATTTTCTTGTCGAATTTGATTGATGAAGAGGGTGGTAAGATTTGCAAATGAAAATTAAAATCTCCATATCAAAATAGAGGGAGGCTGTTAATCAGAATGTTATAAATAGCTTTCCTTCGGTAAAAAAAAATGTTTGAATGTTGTTTGATAATGAAATAACACTAACCCCAGTCACGTCCAGCTGAGATTAGTCTAGACGATTAATTCAAATAAACAGTTAATTTAGACCTAATATCGTTGAGGTGGCATTTAATAGCCTGTGAAAGGTGTCGCGTGCATGCCTAATTTTCTGTCCTCGATAGATTGCAGGCTAATTGTGTGAAAGGCCGTAAAAGTTATATTCCATTCTAATCATACGATTGAATGTGTGAATAAGAGATGTTAGGAGATGTTAGAGAGAAGGGGGAAGGGAAGGAGAGAGGAAAGAAAGAGAACGGAAAGGTAATGGGTGACGGAGAAAAAGCGGGCGGAGGGGGGGGGGGAGCCAGGAACTATAAATTGCACTGTCTGTAAGATATCCTTACAGAAATTAATAAGAGTAATGAAGATAACGCTTAGAGCCAGAGTGGGGTTTAGTTGAAGATGATTTTTAAGAAACTAGAAAGAAGAAAGGAAAGAAGCACAAGAACTTGCTGGGATGGAAGGGCGAATGTCAAAGGAAGGGGTAGGAAGCAAGGGGTGAGGTCGAAACACTAGGAAGTATGTGTAAGAAAACAGGCCTTGTGGCTCTCGTCGTTTGTGCGAATCCTGTTGAGTCCTGTTGTCGGGGGAGAGCGAATAGACGGGGGAAGGAAGCAGGAAGAGAGAGAGAGAGAGTGAGAGAGAGAGAGAGAGAGAGAGAGAGTGAGAGAGAGTAAGAGAGTGAGATAATAAGAAAAAGAGAAAGGCAATAAGAAAGAAAGCGAGGGAAAGACAATAAGTTAAAGAGACGGAGGCAGAAAATAAGAAAAAGAAAGACAGTAAGCTAGAGACGGAGGCAGAAATTAAGAAAGAGATTGATCAGGAAAAGAAAGAAAGAGATCTGGAAAATAAGAAAGAAAGAGAGGGGGGCAGTGTGAAAGGGAAATAGAAGTCGTGTGTCCCAGGAGGAATATGTTTATCGGGTTGAGAAGGTCAATGCTCGTGGTGTTGTCAGAAGGCCTCCTCCATCCTCAAGGTTGTATACACGTATTCTTGCACTGTCACACACCCAGATTTGATCAGGGAAGGGTGCTGCCCAGCGTGTGGCATTTAGAAAGTGCCACGTCACATTCGTCTTGAAGCTTTAATGTTTATCAAAGGAGATAAGTTTTTTTGTTTAGATATCCTGCGATCTAATGTGATAAGTGGTAACAGTTGCTTGCCTGACTCTTGTACCCCGACCCCCCCCCTTTCCCTCCCCCCACCACCATGAGGTTGCAGCGTCGGTCTCTGTGGTTGGTCGGGAGCGTTTACACCCCTTCTCCTGATTGGCTGCCTAGTGGGTGTGAGCAAACGTTAGCATGGGAGTGAAGGCCGTGGCGGAGGGTAGCGTACCCTCACCAGAGAACTTTTTGCCCGAATCTCTCTTTATTAGGATTGTGGTTCTGGCTCTCCTTGTTTGCTTTGTGCGGACGCTCGCGGCTTGAAGAATGCCGGTGCCTGTGTATCCTAGTTGGCGACGGAGAGGCGTACGCACTGTTCTTTTCCTTTCAAGGGTTTTGCCGTACATTTGACGGGGTTCGTGTGTGGCTCGAGGTATTCCATAGAGCCTGGCCTAAGGTGTGGCTCATAAAAAAGGGGCTGTCGTGATGGAATGTCGCGCCGAAGGATGTTCTGAAGAGCTTACGCAACGAGGATTTCATGAGATAAATCGCCACCAGAATCTCGTATATGTAAAGTCGTATTTGCGTGTTCATTTCTTTGTCGTGATTAGAACTCGATTGAATTGAATGTCATTTCACTAAGGCGAGTGACTTTAGTGATATATGTAACCTTTCAGATATAGGACCTTAAATGGCACAAGATATTCAAGTGCCAATTTGAAGTCCGGATTAGCTAAGCTCTGATTGCGTATTCTGTTATTCCTCCTTTAATGTAATTTCATATCTTCCATCATTCGTATCTCCGAAACTCAATTAATTGTTTGATTATCTTTCCCTAATCTTCAAGGGTGAACAGAGGGAGGGGAACGGAGAGAGAGATTGAGAGGGAGGGTATTGGAAAGACAAACTGATTAGGGTAAGAAAAAAAAGGGAGATAGGAAGAAACAGATAGACAAACAGAGAGCTAATGATAGAGATCACACACACACACACACACACACACACACACACACACACACACACACACACACACACACACACACACACACACACACACACACACACACACACCACATGCAGAGAGAGAGAGAGAGAGAGAGAGAGAGAGAGAGAGAGAGAGAGAGAGAGAGAGAGAGAGAGAGAGAGAGAGAGAGAGAGAGAGAGAGAGAGAACGAACCAGTTGTCCTCTACTAAATCCTTCGTGTCTCCAGACATCCCTGGCCCCCAGACAGGAAGGACCCCTGCTAGTATAATGACCTCTTTACAAGTCGCTCATGCATGGCCATTATCTGTTAATCATTAGTATTATCATGCTAATGAGATTTGTTTTCCAATAAGGCATGTAATTGCATATTCCCAGCTCGCTGAGGCAACGTTTGGTGAAAGAGCCGCGTCAATAGATTTGATTTTATCTCTATTTTCATCAGTAGTAGTATTAATGATATTGATGATATAAAGAAATAATAGTGATAATGATAATAATAATGGTAATAATGATAATGATAATAATAATAATAATAATAATGATAATAATGATGATAATGATAGTGGTAATAATAATGATGGTGTTGATAATGATAGTAATGATAATGATAAATTTAGTGTCAAGAACAACAATAACTATTATTTATTTATTTACTTTTTTATTTTATTTTTTACGAAATTTGTGCAATAACCACTTCACCTGTGCTAGAGAGGCACTGGTTGCTATGGGAAACCTGTTTACTGCTCTAATTAGGCGAGGGTGGGCGTGTGTGTGTGTGTGGGGGGGGGGGGCTGTTTTGTTGGATGTGTCGTTAGCGATAAGAGATATGCGGCTTTAAGGTACGTCTTGCTCCGTGCTATTATCACGGTTATTGCTCTACGACGATTGTTCAACGATTGTCGCGGCTCGATTGTAGAGTGTACTATTTTTCCTTCGGGCGTCTGTGTCTTTTTTGTGAGCAGGTTGAGTAGAAGGAGAAGGTTGGTCATTAAATATCTCCCAGTTGGAGAGACGGAAGCTGGAGGTCTTTTCCAAATGGACAGGGGTTAAAGTAGGCTCTAACATTTGATTATTTTATTTTATTTCATTTTTTAAAATTAAGGAATCCAGAGGGATCGATTTCAGAAATCAATCCTCTATAAGGATCTGATCCTTTTCATTGGAATATTTGGTAGCCGCAGACACTCCTTCTAATTTAAATGGTCGTTTGCGATTGCGATTTAATCCCCCCCCCCCCCCAGCCGTGCGACTATTCGGAGATGATTGATAGTGACTCCAGCGGCAGTCGCTCGAAGCAAAACAGCCCCATTCAAGAACAAAGCATTAGTGCTCGAGACAGTCGTTTGACGGTCATCCTTGAGCCAGGAATGGTCATCGTTAAGCGATAATCGCACCGAGCAAAACGCGCCTCCAAAGCTTTCCTTGCTGAGTAATGAAGGCGTGTGTTGATAAGAGCTGGATGATTGAAAGTAGTGAATGTCGTTGTAGCTGATGGTGATGGTCAGTAATAGGCCGATTTTTATAATAATAATAATAATAATAATAATAATAATAATAATAATAATAATAATAATAATAATAATAATAATAATAATAATAATAATAATAATAATAATAATAATAATAATAATAATAATAATAATAATAATAATAATAATAATAATAATAATAATAATAATAATAATAATAATAATAATAATAATAATAATAATAATAATAATAATAATAATAATAATAATAATAATAATAATAATAATAATAATAATAATAATAATAATAATAATAATAATAATAATAATAATAATAATAATAATAATAATAATAATAATAATAATAATAATAATAATAATAATAATAATAATAATAATAATAATAATAATAATAATAATAATAATAATAATAATAATAATAATAATAATAATAATAATAATAATAATAATAATAATAATAATAATAATAATAATAATAATAATAATAATAATAATAATAATAATAATAATAATAATAATAATAATAATAATAATAATAATAATAATAATAATAATAATAATAATAATAATAATAATAATAATAATAATAATAATAATAATAATAATAATAATAATAATAATAATAATAATAATAATAATAATAATAATAATAATAATAATAATAATAATAATAATAATAATAATAATAATAATAATAATAATAATAATAATAATAATAATAATAATAATAATAATAATAATAATAATAATAATAATAATAATAATAATAATAATAATAATAATAATAATAATAATAATAATAATAATAATAATAATAATAATAATAATAATAATAATAATAATAATAATAATAATAATAATAATAATAATAATAATAATAATAATAATAATAATAATAATAATAATAATAATAATAATAATAATAATAATAATAATAATAATAATAATAATAATAATAATAATAATAATAATAATAATAATAATAATAATAATAATAATAATAATAATAATAATAATAATAATAATAATAATAATAATAATAATAATAATAATAATAATAATAATAATAATAATAATAATAATAATAATAATAATAATAATAATAATAATAATAATAATAATAATAATAATAATAATAATAATAATAATAATAATAATAATAATAATAATAATAATAATAATAATAATAATAATAATAATAATAATAATAATAATAATAATAATAATAATAATAATAATAATAATAATAATAATAATAATAATAATAATAATAATAATAATAATAATAATAATAATAATAATAATAATAATAATAATAATAATAATAATAATAATAATAATAATAATAATAATAATAATAATAATAATAATAATAATAATAATAATAATAATAATAATAATAATAATAATAATAATAATAATAATAATAATAATAATAATAATAATAATAATAATAATAATAATAATAATAATAATAATAATAATAATAATAATAATAATAATAATAATAATAATAATAATAATAATAATATTCCAATTATACGGATGTATTTCATGAATAATGATGAGAAGAAATCATACATGGATCCACATTTCCCGAAGATGGCGATCGTCATTATGTTTAAAGTTCCTTGGCGAGACATCAGTTTCGTGTTGACTTTTACAATTATTGCGATTATAACGTCATCAGTAATATACTTCATGTCATCAGTAATTTACTTCATGAAAATACACACGCGTATGATTTATAAAAAATCTTATTGCCACCACATGTATTGCATCGTCATTATCTTTTCCTTATTAATTGCTTTCACAATTATTTTGAAGCCAGACGTTTTTTATGCTGATGGCGGTACTTGTATGCAATCTTTTCGTATAATCTCTATTGCTGGTATTAACTTATGCATTAAACCGTATAAAGTAATTACTGACATAATGACAGTAAAGCATGCATTTCATCCTGAAAAAAATATGCATTAGTATCATTTCCATTCTCATTTTCATAATCGTCATTGACTTTATATCATGGACACCGCTATTTTTTATTGGTAAAGGGCACTTATCACGTTTAATAATTTCCATTACTATAGCAATAGAAAAATCACACACGTGATTAACCGCCCACCTCCTTCAGACTATTTCTCATTTTATTCCAAGGTCTTTATCACCAGCAATCACCTCGAAAATCATTATTGACTTTGCATCGGAAGCAATACCATTAACCGCGTCCCCCTCTCCCCCCTCCTCCTCCCCAGGGGCTCCGCCATCGCCAAGATCATCGGCTCGAACGTCACCAAATTCGACCAATTCGACAACGAAGTCCGCATGTTCGTCTACGAGGAGATGATCGACGGCAAGAAACTCACGGAGATCATCAACACCACGCACGAGAACGTCAAGTACCTGCCCGGAAAGAAGCTGCCCGAGAATGTGGTAAGTGGAGGGTGGAGAATGTTGAAAGGGGGGAGGGGGTGAATGTTGAAGGGGCCGGGGGGGATGTTGAGGGGGTGGGGAAAGGGGGATATAAGGGATGTGGGGGTCTTCATTGGTTTTAGTATCCTTTCTTTCTTTTATTTCTTTTGTTGGTTCTTAGTCTTGTCTTATTGTTCTCTTTTCTTCTTCTTCATTCCTTCCTTCCTTCTTTCCGCAAGGGTAGTGAGGATGTTTCGGGGTGATTTGCGTATTGGGGGAGGGTGAACTGCAGGAGAGAGTGGATTTGCTTCTATTTAGTAATGGAGTTTGTGAAAAAGATGAACATTTAACAACATATATATTACTTCCAACGAATCAGAATTAATTAACATATTGACTCACAAAGATTATAAAGATGTTATGAAGGCCCTCCCTCCAGAATAAAAGATAAACGACATTGCCATTGACCAAACCCAAAAAACAACGGAAAGCTGGGACCAGCAGACTCGGAATTACGTGCCTGAAGGAGAAAATTACAGGACGAGGAAGAGACGAGTAGAAAAAAATGTGTTCTCCCGCCTCTGATGTCGGTCATCAGCTGAAGGCGATAGCACGGTGCTACATTTTTATATTGCGTCTTACAACGCCAAATGGCACGCTCTTGTAACAGACCCTGGGATTTATATATATATATATATATATATATATATATATATATATATATATATATATATATATATATATATATATAATATATATATAATATATATATATATATATATAATATATATATATATATATATATATATATATATATATATATATATATATATATATATATATATATATATATATATATATATATATATATATATATATATATATATATATATATATAATATATGTATATATATATATATATATATATATATATATATATATATATATATATATATATATATATATATATATATATATATACATACATACATACGTATATATATATTTTTCTTCTTCTTTTTTTAATTAGTTTATGTTCTTATCTTTTCTTTCTTAGTTTTCCCTTTCTTTCTCTTTTATCCTTTTTTGTCGGTTTATCTTTTATTTTTATCCTTTCATATTTATCGAGGAACTAGTAGCGTGTTCTTCGAATCTCCTCCGTCGCTCTGAATAACTCAGGAAGTTTTTTTTGAGGGAGAGAGTGTTGATTTTTTGCTCTCTCCTTCGTTTTTTAAATTTTTTATTTTGTTTTGTTTTTCATTTTGTCTTTTACTTTTCTGCTTTTATTTATTTTTTCAACTTTGCCGTTTTGCTGTTACTCCCCCCCCCCCCTTCATCTTCACATTCTTCTTTTCCGTTCGGTGTTTGTCGTTTTTTCTTCTTTCTTTCTTTCTTTCTTTCTTTTGCGATATCTCCTTCCACCGCTCTCTTCACCTCCTCTGGTGTGATGTTTACTCAGCTCAGCTTATGGCCTTAATCCCCGTGATGCAGCTTGCAGGGGGATCCAATTATTTGCTCTTTCGATGCGGAGACGGTCTTATCTCGGGACACATACATACATATATATACACACGCACACGGACACGCACACGGACACGCACACAGACGCGCACAAGGACACGCACACCCACACGCACGCGCACACGCACAACCACACGCACACCCACACCCACACGCACACCAAGAACCCATAACCACACCCACACGCACATTCACTCCCACACGCACACCCACACCCAAACCCCCACAGACGCCCACACGGAATCAGAAATACCCATTGATATATAATGTAGATCTAAATAAAAAGTAAAATGACACTGAATACGAGATAAAGTGATGAATGCATACACCTAGTAAATAGTGAAGGGAAACGCATTGGGTAAGATTGAGAGGAAAGTTTTATCTTGATCGTAGATAAAGATGCAGCCTCTCGAAAGCTGTTAACGTTAAGAGTCTCCCTCTCGCGCTCTTTCTTAATCTTTTACTCGATGTCTTTCCCCTTCTCTGCCTTTGCTTTTTTTTCTTTCTTTATCCTTTTTTTGCCTCGCTCATTTATCCTGGTGTCAGTATTCTTCTCTGTTTTTTTTTCTCTCTCTTTCTTTCTGCTGCCTCATCCTTGCTTCTCTTTTCTTTGCTGGTACAGTATTTTTCTCTCTTAATATCAGCCTTTCTTAATTTTTCTTTCTCTTCTTCCTATGTCATATTTTTCTTTTCGCCGTGGGGCCTGAGCATTCAAGGAAACTCTTCCTACCCCTGCCTCTTTCCTTTCCCTTTTCTTTGTTATTCTCTCTCTCTCTCTCTCTCTCTCTCTCTCTCTCTCTCTCTCTCTCTCTCTCTCTCTCTCTCTCTCTCTCTCTCTCTCTCTCTCTCTTTCTCTTCCTTTCCCTTTTTTTGTTATTCTCTCTCTCTCTTTCCCTTCTGTCCCCTTTCTCCGCCTTTCCCTTGTTTCTCATTTCTCTTTCTTTCTATCGCCGTCATTTCTCCCATTCGTTCACTTCACTTTACTTCACATCTCTTCCCTTCACTTCCCACCGACCCCCCCCCCCCTCTTCCTTTCATTTCCTTACCCCTCCCTCATCCACTTCCTCTTCCTTTCCTGCTCCATCTTTCCTCATCCCTTCCCCATTTCTTCCCCATTCCCTTCCGCTCCTTTCCCCCCTCCTTCCCCACCCCTTTTCCATAACCCTTCCTCCGTTTCCCTTTCCCCATCTCATACATCCCCCCCCCCCTTACATTCCCCTCTAGGCCTACCGACTGACCTCCCAGGCGTCGGCGGCGGCTCGATGGAGAGAAAGTGTTAATTGTATGCTCAGGGACGACGCAAGTCACACCCAAGAGTGTAGGCAAAGGGAGGGAGGGAGGGAGGGAGCGAGGGAGCGAGGGAGGAGGTGAGGGTTGTAAAAGAGGGAGAGAAAGAGACGGGGAGGGAGGAGGTGGAGGGTTGTAAAAGAGGGAGAGAAAGAGACCGGGGGGGAGGAGGTGGGGGTTATAAAGAGAAAGAGACAGGGAGGGAGGTGGGCTTGAAAAGGAGGGAGGGAGGAGGTAGATTGTTGAAGGAGGGAGGAGGTGTGGGTAAAAGGAGGGATGCGAGGGAGAGGGGGAGGGAACTGATGGGTAAAAAAGAGGGAAGGAGAGAGGGAGGGAGGTGGCGGGTTTTGAAAGGAGGGAGGGCGTTGATGGGTTGAAAGGGAGAGAGAGAAGCCGGAAGGTGGCGGGTTTGAGATTAGGGAGAGAGGGAGGGAGGGAGGGGGTGGTGGTAGGAGGGAGGGGGTGGTGGTAGGAGAAAGGGAGGGAGAGGGTGGTGGTAGGAGGGAGGGGGTGGTGGTAGGAGGGAGGGGGTGTTGGTAGGAGAGAGGGAGGGAGGGAGGTGGTGGTAGGAGGTAGGGAGGCAGCAGGTTGAAAGGTATAGAGGGGAGGGGGGGTAGGGTTGATAGAGAGAGAAAGGGACGAAGGGAGGGTGGGGAAGAGAGAGGTAGACGGTAGAACAGATAGAAATGGATATTTTGAAATGAAGGAGCAAGGTACGCAGCCAGTCGTACAGTGAAGAAAATAGAGTAGGAGAAGGAAGAGAAAAGATAGTCGGTAAAGATTCGTAAAGAAACCCCGAAGATTGATCTCCATGCATATCTTATCACGGTCGTCGCTAAAACACACTTTGTCACCCTCCTCCTTGCTTCCATTCTCGTCCTCCTCATTCCTAGTTCCTCATCTTCCTCCTTCTTCTTCTTCATCTTCAACTTCTTCTTCTCCATCTTCAGCTTCATCTTCATCTTCAACCTTTTCTTCTTCTTCTACTTCTTCCTCCTCCTCTTCCTCTTGTTCCTCCCCTTCCTCTTACCCTCAATCTTCCTCCTCCTTCTCCTCCTCCTCTTACACTCTTCCTTCATCCTCCTCCTCCTCCTCATCCTCCTTCCTTCCTCCTCTTACCCTTCTCCTCCTCCTCCTCCTCTTACCCTCCTTCTCCTCATCCTCCTTTCTCTTCCCCCCACTCCTTCCCTCCTCCCTTCTTCTCCCCTCTTCCTACTCCTCCTTCCCCTCCCCTCTTCTTTCGTTCTTCGCCCTCCTTCCCTTCCCTCCCTTCCCTCCCTCTTATCTCTTCCTCCTCCTCCTCTTCCTCCTCCTCCTCCTCCTCCTCCTCCTCCTCCTCCTCCTCCTCCTCCCTCCCCTTATCTCCAATACAGTGTAAAGCGGTCGAGGTTACTCTTATCAGCCGGCTTCAGCTTTATTCGGTCAAGGTCCACCGGCTGGTTGCTATCCTCCCTTCCATCTGCTCTCCGCTCTCCTCCCTTTTGGTTGATCCCCTGTCTTCTTGGTTCTGGCTCATTCTCTGTGCTCTCGGTTCTTTTATTTTGTAATTTTGTAGTCCTCGTTTTCTTGTCTTTTTGCCCTCCTTCTCGTCTCCTCGTCTCCCCTCTGATCCCCCTGTCCCCGGCCTTCATTTTCTGGGGCCCACTAGAGCCCTCCAGCTTCTCCCCTCGGCGGCTCGGGGTGCTTCGCCAGACGAGAAGTGATGGAGACGAAAGAGAGGGAGACAGGGCGTGGGGGGGGGGGGTGAGGAGAGAGGGGCAGGAGGCATGGTTGTGAGAGAGAGGAATAGATGGGGAAGAGAGATGAGGGGGGTCATGTTGAAGCGAAAGAGGGAGAGGGAGAATAGACAGGGGGATGAAGAGAAGAAAAGGGGCGAGAGCAAGGAGGCGAGAGAGGGGCAGACCGATAGACAGACAGATAGACAGACAGAGTGAGAAGAAAGAGCAGGGCATTCATTAGACAGGCAGTGTCGAGGGCAAAGAGGCAGACAATAAACGGAATGCTGCAGCGAGTCGATCAGGTAACTTGATGACCGTCGATGGCGTGACGTGGTGCCACATGAAGCGAGGCGCTGATGAGACTGACGTGGCGATCCGCTCAATGACCTGTTGCCTCTTGCTTCGTCGTCAGGGGAGCGTCAGCGGTTTTAATGGAAGGTAATTCGGTCTTCAGAGCAACTTCTTCGTAAAAATGTGCGCATGATATTGTCTCTA